CTCTCGTCCCTGTTTTACCGAGGGGGAAACTGAGGCTCTGAGGCATTCGGTAATGGGGCTGAGACTCTGCAGACAGCTCATGATGGTGATTGCCGCTGAGTTCAGAAGAGCCTATAAGCTTTAAAATATTTTACCTGCACAATCCTATCCCTTATAGCTTCTCACTGCAGAACTACAATAAAACCATCTGATCCCACCTCCATTTTATATACACAAGGGCGTCTCTTAAAACAAAGCAAAGAAAAAGAACACAGAAAAAGGCCCTGGTGGACTCTGTCTGCAATGGTAAGAAATGTTAGAATACAAATGAAGCAGCTCACACAAGCACGGGTGTCTCTTTTCCTTAGTTCCACCTTGGCTAACAGTTTCCATTTCTGGGTGTTTCCATAGCCAGGTCACAATCCATAAGCATCAAGACAGGAAGGAGCCCCCCACACATACACCTTCGAATGGCTGGTTCTTATGTAATTACATCTCCCCACGCCCTTCCTTTGGGAACAGGGCTGAATTATCCCCACCTCTGTGCTGAGCTGCGACTTTAATCAAAAGCAAAGAGCTTGAAAGAAGCCGAGCTCTGAAAGCCTTCATTCAAGGCGCCAGGCAATTCCTTCAGGATCCGAACAATAAATGAGTTCAAAACGAGCAGGTGGGAGGGGATCAACCTTTCTATTAAAAACAAAATTTGTGCATGGGTGTCTATGTGTGTCCATGGGTGTGTATGTGTGTGCATGTGCGTATATGCGTGTGCGTGGGTGTGTATGTGTGTGCATGTGTGTGTGCATGGGTGTAATGTGTGTGCATGTATTTGGGGAGAGTCATTTCTATTCCATTTTTAAATGCATATATATTAAAAACGTGGTAATAACAGTAAAAGTTGATCATTAGAATAATTCTTTCCGTGGGTGCTGGAAGCTGAAGAATTGAGATACGCCCAGGAGAAAAATCCAAACAGAAGGCCAGAGCTCCCTCTTGCTTTTCCTTGGAGAAGTTCACCCAAACTTCTCCTCAGAGACCGAGGTCGCCAAGCAGAGAGCCAGCAGCACGGGCTCCTGCCTGCATCACCGCAGCCTCTACACATATTATTCATCAGAGAGGGAAGCAGAAGGGAAGAAGCACTTTTAAAAGGAGAAATACTCACAAAGCCATTTCAAACTGTTCCAGCCATTTTTTCTTTAAATCTTTTGTTTTGCAATAAAATTCTAACCCATTGTGTCCTTGGGTATGGATGAGGTAGAAGCCATAAGACCACTGTTAAAATTAATATTCCTCAGGTTAATACGGATCATGCATGAGTAACATCACGTTCCCAAATCCACTGCACCACCACCATCACCATCCACAGGCCTCTCGTAACGCTCACCTGGGACCCATCAAGACCCCCCCAGACAACCTCACATCCACAACCATTTCTATGCCAATGCGTCGGACTGTGTTGGTCACCAGCATTTGGGATGAGCGTATCAGCTGTGACACGGTCCCCCTCTTTCCCCTGATCAATTTCCAAAAGCAGAAACTCCTAAATCGATGCGTTACCCCTCCCGGGAATGGATGAGCCCGTTTTCCTTGAACGTTCAAAGTCCTGAGTAAACCACAGTTATGAATCTCCAAGAATTCACCTTTTTGTTTTCTTTATCCGTTGTAGGATTGTTGGCTATTTTGTACTGCTGGAGATCTATTATTTCCTTCATTTCATAGTTGTCACCTTTTCTTTTGCAGACAATCACTGCCAAGTCGAATAAGAAGATGTGCCTGAGAGAGAAAAAGAGGAGAGAGAGGGGGCGGGGGGGGGGGGGGAGGCTGATTTAAAATGGTTTGGAAGCACGTGTTAGTTCTTCCCTTATTCACAGAATTAAACCAAACAAACACTTTTCCTCTGAGTTGAGGACAAGGCAGTGCTGCACTTTGGAAAGGATGAACTGTGAGCATCGTACCCTTCACTACCCTTAACTAAACGAGTGGCCTCACTGTACCTCAGTTTCCTTATTTAAAAAAAACAGGAAAACCGTTTTTATTTGTGTGTTTTTGTTTTGTTTTTTAATCCTCACCTGAGGATATTTTCCCATTGGCTTTTTAGGGAGAGCGGAAGAGAGAGGGAAAGACAGAGCGAAACATCAATGTGGAACTCCTCGGGTTGCAGGCAGAAGCTGCCTGGACCACCGCCTGAGGCACAGGAGCAAAGCGCAAACTAGAGAAAACATGGTGAAGTTTACACGCTGCTGTTCCTCTTTTCTTTTTAAAAACAACATAGCCAAAACCGGTTTGGCTCAGTGGATAAAGTATCGACCTGTGGACTAAAAAGTCCTAGGTTCTATGCCAGGCAAGGGCATGTACCTTGGTTGCAGGCACGTTCCCCGTGGGGGGGTGTGCAGGAGGCAGCTAATCGATGTTTCTCTCTCATCGATGTTTCTGGCTCTCTAGCCCTCTCTCTTCCTCTCTGTAAAAAATCAATAAAATATATTTTAAAAAATAAATAAAATAAATAAAAAATAAAAACAACATAACTGGGGAGAAAACTATCATCCCATCACCCAATACCAAATCTTGTACCTTTGAAAACTCTGTGGTTTATACGCACACATTTTTGAAACTATGATAATGATACGTTTGTGCAGCGTTAACACTTGCAGCGCTTTCAAAGCCTATTTTCCTGGAGATGCTAAAAGGATGTGTGTCTCCCGGAAGCTACCTGTAGAGCCCGGGGATCAGGAGGAAGCAAGCGCTGATGCTGCCCCCTGCTGGCTGGCTTTCTCATCTGCACAGGTTCCAGGAAAGGGCCATTTCCAAGTGATGAAAATCATAGAGAGGCCGGGACCGGTGTGGCTCAGTGGATAGAGCGTTGGACTGTGGACTGAAAGGTCCCGGGTTCGATTCCCAGCAAGGGCATGTACCTTGGTTGCGGGCACATCCCCAGTAGGGGGTGTGCAAGAGGCAGCTGATCGATGATTCTCTCTCATCGATGTTTCTAACTCTCTATCCCTCTCTCTTCCTCTCTGTGAAAAATCAATAAAATATATTAAAAGAAAGAAAGAAAGAAAGAAAGAAAGAAAGAAAGAAAGAAAGAAAGAAAGAAAGAAAGAAAGAAAGAAAGAAAGAAAGAAAGAAAGAAAGAAAGAAAGAAAGAAAGAAAGAAAAGAAAAGAAAAGAAAAGAAAATCACAGAGAGTCTGGGACACAGGCCAAGCTTACTCATTTCCAAGGACTTCCCCTACAAATTCCCCTCCAGTAAGGCTCACGCACGCAATGATCCTCCTCAAACATCTTCCTTCGGACACCAGGTGTTATTTTTTCTTGTTATTTTAAAATGTAGACCCAAGAAATGAAACCACTGTGTGTGATGGTAGTTATCTGTGCTGTGGTTCCTCTCTCCTCTCAGTGTCAGGTGTACGTCCTTTTACCCCAGCTGCCATCCTCCAGCTGCCATTTCCTACTTAAGAACTCGGACAAATCAACCAAGCAGAGGGGACACCACCTGATGGATGGAACGTTTAGGAAACGGAGGCTGATCGCCCCTCGGCTTCCTCCTCCGTGTCCCCGCTCTGCCTGGAGGAGCTGTGTCTGAGGCCTCCTCGGACTCTGGAGGAGCTGTGTCTAAGGTTTCCTCAGGCTCGGACATGAACGACCTATTCAGAAAGTGCGCCTCCTCTGCCTCACCTCTCTTGCTTTGTGTGCTTGTCCAGGGTGGTGATTCGAATCTCACCGTCTCCCTGCGGCCGTCCGAAAAGCAACACTGGCTGGTTCTAAAAGAGAAAATGTACGTGTCTCAGTGTTTCACTGTCACATAAAAACCCAGGGAAAATTTCAGTGAGGATGTTAAGAACAACTCTCTGGCCGAAACCGGTTTGGCTCAGTGGATAGAGCGTCGGCCTGCGGACTGAAGGGTCCCAGGTTCGATTCCAGTCAAGGGCATGTACCTTAGTTGCGGGCACATCCCCAGTAGGGGGTGTGCAAGAGGCAGCTGATCGATGTTTCTCTCTCATCAATGTTTCTAACTCTTTATCCCTCTCTCTTCCTCTCTGTAAAAAAATCAATAAAATATATTTAAAAAAAAAAAAAAAAAAAAAAAAAAAAGAACAACTCTCTGTTACACTACAACTTTTATCATCTCACATCCAGCGTACTTACTCTAAAAAGCTCAGGTCTACATAATACACTTTCAAAACCAGCCTGTCCATGGTCCTCCTTGGAGGCAGGCCGAGGACATTAACTAATTTTACCCCAACGAAAAAGGCAGCTCCCAAAAGGAGCATTCGTCACAAGAACCCAAGTCACCAGGAAGCTGCAGGAACTAGTGTTTCTTGGGTATCCGTGGTGTCAGCCACCGCCATAGGTGAAATGACAGAGACCTGGCCCTCGTGGCGCTACTGGCCATCAGGGAAACAAGCGAGTCTGCATTTACAAATACCCGACTGCCATGACGGGCGGCATGCATGGCTGGGGACCCACTTTGGTGTAAAGAGCCAAGGAGGGTGTCCCTGCTCTGAGGTCTCAGAATGACCAGTTCTCACTTAGCCCGCCGGCTCCGTGGCTGAGCATCGGCCCAGGGACCGGGAAGTCACGGTTCCGTTCCCGGTCAGGGCACGTGCCCGGGGCTGCGGGCTCCATCCCCAGTAGGGGGCCCCTCCCTAGCAATAACACTGTGGCTTCTGCCTGGAATCCTTCCCCCCCCCCTCCCCCCGATCCCTGTGCTGCAGCTTCTCCTTATGCTTCAGGCTCCAGGGGCTACTCCCTCACAAGGGCTTTTTCTAACCATCCTATCGAAACAAGGCCTCCCCTTCTGATCCCATTGGATCGCCCTCTTCACAGCACTATCTCAAAATAGCTTCCTTAAACTCTCTTTTCCCTGCCTCCTCCACCATGAGACGACATGGCTCAGAGTTCCAGCCTCAGCCCCAAGCTCAAGGTCGGGTGCGTAAGAGTCACCCAGCAAATACACGTACAATGAGTACATGCACGGGCATCAGCGTAAGTGTGTATGGCGGTGAGGGCGCCAAGGTCTAGGACGGTGGTCAGCAAACTGCGGATCGCGAGCCACATGCGGCTCTTTGGCCCCTTGAGGGTGGCTCTTCCACAGAACACCACGGCCTGGGCAAGTCTATGTTGAAGAAGTAGTGTTAGAAGAAGTTTAAGTTTAAAAAATGTGGCTCTCCAAAGAAATGTCAATCATTGTCCTTGTTGACATTTGGCTCTGTGGACTAATGAGTTGGCTGACCACCAGTCTAGGATGTGGATGGTCCGGGGAGGAGCTGTGTGATTAAGGTGAGGGCACAGTGAGGGTAGAGTCACTGTCGCAGGTGTCCCAGCCCTCTGTGTGGATACGGCCAAACAGGAAGAGGGAAAATAAACTGGGATTGGAACACTGAAAGTAAAGTGTCTTTTCTTCAAAAACACCGTTTGGCGGGGCAGGGGAGCCGGACGGAATGATCCTGACTTACCAGGTTCTCTATGGAGAGCTGGAACTGCCTGATTTCACGCAGGGTCTCGTTGTCCCTCTTCACTTCGTTCACATACTGTGCCAAGTCCTGAAGAAGAACGAGAAGGGACAAAAAGAAGGCCCCTGAGATGGGAGAAGAGGTGAGAGCTGTTGGAAAGAAAGCACATCATTCCCTTGGGAGCAGAAAAAGGATCATGGCTTTTTGATGGCAATGGAATCACCAAGAGCTGATCACCAAGAGCAAGTTAAAAATTCTGGAGGACAGCCAGGCCAGGGTGGCTCAGTGGTTGAGCATCGACCAATGAACCAGGAGGTCACAGTTCAATTCCAGGTCAGGGCACTTGCCCAGGCTGCGGGTTCGATCCCCAGTGTGGGGTGTGCAGGAGGCAGCCCATGCGTGATTCCCTTTCACCACTGATGTTTCTCTCTCTCTCCCTCTCCCTTCCTCTCAGGGAGCAATAGAAATGTATTTATTTTTTTTTATGTCTGGAGGACAGCTGGGAAGACCAAAGAGGTCTTACCTCACCCTCGAGAAGAACAGCATAAAAACAAAGTGACCCCACGCAGAACAACAGAAAGGGAACAGGTCAGGAGAATGTACCTTCCAAACATATTAACAAAGGACAGTCCATGCGGGTTGGAATAAGGGCAGAGGGGAGGGCTCAGCGAGGGAGGGGAAGGTAACGGAAAGTGAGACAAGGAATCTGGCAGGCCCGCTTTCCACCATCAGCTCATGTCTTTGTTCCTGGAAGCCTTCAATCCAGTCTCCTTTGAAAGGAGAGGGAGTAGAGGCAAGAGAGCAGAGAACTCTGTGAAACGGGCACCATTCACACTGGGCGTCTATTTTTAAACGGCTGCCCCCATTTCGGAGGAAACAGGAGCGAATCTTCCACGCGGCGACCAGCTATTTTTATTGTACGCGCTCTCGATTCTATGTTCTGGGGTCTTTTTCATCATTTCTGTTCCCTTCGGTTCGTCTGAAGCAGCGGGAACAGAATTCGGACAAAAGGCAGCATTGAGCTTTGTTCTAAATGAAAGTCTGGCTTTTCAGAGCCTGTATCTATAAATGATCACTTTAACATCAGACCCTTGGTGTGACTTTTTATAACAATAAGGAACCGGGTGATGGGCCCTGATGGGGCGGGTACAGAGCGGCGGAACAGGGGGGCCAGCTGGAAAACGGCCCAGAGACACGGAGAAGTATCGTCACCGTCTCACTGTCACCTCGCGTGCTGCTCTGAGGACACATTTGCTTCTGTTTTAAATTAAGGATGACTGCTGAAACCAGTTTGGCTCAGTGGTTAGAGCGTCAGTCTGAGGACTGAAGGGTCCCAGGTTCAATTCCGGGCAAGGACATGTACCTTGGTTGCGGGCACATTCCCAGTAAGGGGGTGTGCAGGAGGCAGCTGATCGATGATTCTCTCTCATCGATGTTTCTAACTCTTTATCCCTTTCTCTTCCTCTCTTTCAAAAAATCAATAAAATATTTATAAAAATAAATATATAAAAATAAATAAATTAGGGACGAATATTTCTCTCAAAGTCCAGTATGGCGTGGAAGTCAGGTCTTATAGAGCCCCTAGGTGCTCAGAAAGTGGGCCTCTGTCTACCGGTCATTCCTGACTTCCAGGCTTCCCTGAGCACAGAAACCCAACCTGAACCTCACGTGCACAGACGCTCAGCACCCCCAAAAGGAAGCCCGGCAGAGGCCTCGGCTGAGCGAGTGCGTCACCCCTGTGTTCCGGGGCCACCTGCCCAGCTGATGCTTAAACAAGCCATCCGCGTCCTATCAGTGACCACGCAGAGAATGTCAACGGCAACCACGCTATGGAAGGTCATGGACGTTGTCATAACATTTATACGTAACAAAACTATTTTTGCCCAGCCATCGTGGCTCAGTGGTTGAGCATCGACCTATGACCCAGGGAGGCACAATTCGATTCCCAGTGGAGACATGTGTAGACTTGATCCCTAGTGTAGGGGCGTGCAGAAGGCAGCAGATCAATGGTTTTCTCTCATCATTGATGTTTCTGTCTCATGCTCTCCCTCTCCCTTCCTTTCTGAAATCAATGAAAATATATAGTTTTAAGTTATTTTAATTCACCTGTTGGTTTTATGTGTTTTTGTCTAACAATTAAATTCATGCAGATGTATGCATTTCAGTTAAAAACTATTCAACTCTCCCCACCAAAAACAACACTATACAAAGACTTATGTATATTATAATATACTAGTGGCCTGGTGCATGGATTCGTGCACATTGAAAGGGAATCTGGTGTGGGTGAAGCAGATTCGGAGCCAACAGGGCCCCAGTGGTAAGCTAACCCACCGCTGATTCCGAGCGGAACCGGGTTCCCTACTCCCTCCTCTCTGGGTCCGGGGTGTGGGTAAAGCAGATTCAGGGCTGACTGGTCCCCAATAGCAACCTAACCTACCGGTCGGAGCATCTGCTCCCTGTTGGTCATTTTGCATCACAGTTACCTGTCAAACAGCTGCTTAGGCTTTTATATATATAGATTAGCACGCCATACATATGAATTAGCAGAAAGCATTCTCTTGTTTTTAGGCAAGAATATCAAACACAAGCAAGGTTATGGTGCATCGCTTTACCTTCATCGCATCCAGAGCCAGTTTCAGATTCGCCTTCTCTGAGGGGTCGGTGGTATGCTTGACCAGTTCCTATTTGGAAGACACGGGTTAGTACTGTTCTCATCAAATTAACACCCAAACATAAGGAAGAAAACATTTAAAAATGAACCCTTTATGTAGGTTTACGCAGCCACAAACAGTAGAGAAGTTCTCAAAATATTAAAAGTGGAACTACCTTATAAGACTCAGCAATTCCGCTCTGGAAATATATCCAAAGAAACCCAAACACTCATTTGAAAGGACATGTGCTCCCCAATGCTCAGTTACAGTGTAATTTACAATAGCCAATATCTGGAAGCAACCCAAGTGCCCATCATCATGGGACTAACATACTTTCAAAATTTAAAGTACAAAACAATCCAAGAAGAATTAGGAAAATGTTTGCTAAATTTCATAAAAGGCTAGTCACATTTTATACTTTGAGAATTCTGTCTAAAGCTCTGTGATACAAAAAAATGTATCCTGAAAACTGCACTTTCTACACTCTTCCAGTGGTATTTAGTAACAGACGTTACTAAATAAATTATCCTCTTATTTTGGACAGGTTTTTAGTTCCACAATGTCTCAGAAACTGATTGCCTTAGTCTTCCTTATTATTTCTTCATAAAATCCAATTTGAGTAAAGTTGCTCTGAGTTTAGGTCTCATACATGTTTTAATGCATTTTAAAGAAATAATCAGGGTTTGAATTTCTCTGATTTCTCAGTAGATCAAAAATAGGGATGACTAATCATTCTGCAGCTAAAGTGCAAGAAATGTAATATGCAGGAGGTCCAAAGCACAGAAGACTCCAAAACATATTTCACATGCAGGTAGGAGACCTGTTTAAGACAACATTTCACAAGCGTCAGCAGAGCAGACAGGCTAATGCGGTAGGACATTCCTTTGGAGCAGAACTAATGAGTCTCCTGGTACAGCCATCAAATTAAATTTATAAGACTCTCCACCCTCATTAGAGGACTAACCGTGGAAACCATAAGCTTCGGGGTTATAACGAGAATCCCTTCAAAATACAGGTAGCCTTATTATCATCTACGAGAGCAGAAAGCAACCCAAAATCTGACACAACTTCTCTAGGTTATGGTCATCAGGCAAAAGTTCTCGCAGAATCCACCTGCCGAATCCGGGTGGATAACAATATCGAGAATCTAGTAAGTGATCGTACCGACTACAAAGGACTTGGCGGAAGGGATCTTCATATTTGTTCTGACTTGATTATTTAATTTTTATAGTGTCTGGAGCTAGCTAAGTTTGAGGGACAGGAAGTGTGACCTTGTGAGAAAGGAGAATCACAGTGGTTTCAAGGAAGGCGAGTTTCCAGCCGTTATTTCCCATCACGCCCCACTGATCACTGAGAACTGTGAGGGGATCAGGCCCCAGAGAAGGCGCATCGGGCACACAGTGATGCCTCGTGAACATTTTATGGAAGGAATAAATGAGCAGGGGCTGTGAGTGACGTACCTGGAGGAGAAGGTGGTACTTTAGCACGCGCTGCATTGGGACCACGAGCAAGTCTCGGAGAGTGAACTTCCCATTGTTGGCCCGTTTGGAACATTCCTGGTGAAACGTGGTTTTTGAAACGTGGGTTAAAAACCCTATTAGTGCCCTGACTGGTTTGGCTCAGGGGATAGAGCGTCAGTCTGCGGACTGAAAGGTCCCAGGTTCCATTCCCGTCAAGGGCATGTACTTTGGTTGCAGGGCACATCCCCAGAAGGGGGTGTGCAGGAGGCAGCTGATCAATGTTTCTAACTCTCTATCTCTCTCCTTTCCTCTCTGTAAAAAAAAAAAAAATCAATATATATATTTTTAAAGACCCTGTTAGTTTTATCAAAGGGGGTCATAAAGCCAACACAAGAAGACACGAAGGCCATACACAACTCTGTGACTGCACGATAAACATCTTTTCCTTCTTAACAAGCCTTCTTTCAAAAAAATAGAAAGCACCTACAATTAAAAGCCAAAAAACAAACCAAACTTGGGGCATTTCGGCTCTAAATATGAATCGGTAAGAAAAACTCTTCGTGTGTGAAGATGAAGAGTCTTTCCTGTGGGGCCCTCCAGGGCCTTCCTCCTCCGAGGCTGAGAGCTCTGCCTTGTCCCCAATCCCACCCACGCCCCGGCCCATCCCACCCACATGGGCCTCCCCACCAGCACACCCCGGTTCTCTCCAACGGCCATGTGCTTGGTCCAGTTCCCACCAGAACCCAGTATTCTCCTCAAGGACTACACATCTAGGTCTTCAGTAACAACCCCAATCAAAACGATGCTCTCTCTGTGTGCCTTGTGGGCTTTTCATTCTTATTGTACCTAATCCCTTCCCCAAGATGTCTCCCATTCCTCTAAGAATCTAGGATTTGCTTATGTGTTTGTTGAACTGAGTGAAATGAAATGATTGACTCCAAGAATATGCTCAAGTGTAAAACTACTACATGAGTCTATGTTTCAAAAGCCTCAAGTTTCTTTTTTTTTTTAAACCTCACATTACTCTTTTTTTAAAATGTATTTTAAACTAGTACTTTACTGTTTCTCACATATCTACAGTGTAGTTCAAAAAGAATGGCTCAGCCAAAACCGGTGTGGCTCAATGGATAGAGCGTCGGCTTGGGGACTGAAAGGTCCCAGGTTCGATTCCGGTCAAGGGCATGTACATTGGTTGCAGGCACATCCCCAGTAGGGGGTGTGCAAGAGGCAGCTGATTGATGACTCTCTCTCATCGATGTTTCTAACTCTCTATCTCTCTCCCTTCCTCTCGGTACAAAATCAATAAAATATATTTTAAAAAAAAAGAAAGAAAGAAAGAAAGAAAGAAAGAAAGAAAGAAAGAAAGAAAGAAAGAAAGAAAGAAAGAAAGAAAGAAAGAAAGAAAGAAAGAAAGAAAGAAAGAAAGAAAGAAAGAAAGAAAGAAAGAAAGAGAAAGAGAAAGGAAGAAAGAAAAAAAAAGAATGGCTCAGTTGGTTGAGCATGGTCCAGTGCGTGCACCAAAAGGTCACTCACCGGTTTGATTCCAGGTCAGGGCACATGCCCTGGATGTGACCTCGATCCCCAGTAGGGGGCGTGCAGGAGGCAGCCGGCAGATGTTTCTCTCCCTCTCTGCCTCTCTCTCTAAAAATAAATTTAAAAAACAGAGCTCATAAAAATACTATTATTAGTGGGCAACTCAGTAAGTCCAAAACCCTCAGACAGCTGCACATCCCAGACCAAGGACTTGGGGAGGTGCTCAGGAAAGGAGTTATGGTTAAGGAAACACTCCTTAGCTCGTGCCTTGGTTTCCCTGTGCCCACACTTAGCTTTTCTGGAACATAAAACGATATTATCACCAGAAGCGGTAAAGCAAGCTCCATCGGCTCTAATGACCGTGGTGCCTAATGAGTGTCTGACGGAGGATCTTAAGCAAGAACAAATGCCAGCTCAGCCCGGCCGATTGCCGCAGGTCACTGGAAAGGTAACGGCTGCGCTGATTGCTTGCTTCCATGCATCAGAGAGCGTTCTGGGTCATGGGTCTCAGATGGGAGGTTAATTCTGGGATAATGATGGGTCTGCTCTCCCTGGAAAGTCCCGCCCAGGGACCATACTCTGCATGTTCAGCTCCTTAAAACAGGCCGCATCTGACACTTCCTGTACTATGACATCTTAACACGGCCCCAGGAGCAGAAGCGTTATACTCTTACCGTTCACGCTGTTGTGTGGTGGAAGTCAGTTTAAAACTGGGGGGAGAGGGTGACAGGGGAAGCTAGTTCCTTTCAGTCCTAAGTCACAGGCTTTCTGAGCCCCAACATGAGGAAATTGCCCGCATCCATCTCCCCCTCAGGAGGCTCTGATGAGATGAGCTCCTGAGGCGGCTGTCACTCCCACCGCGCGGTCCTTGTGTAAGGCAGCCACTAACGCGCTTTACAGAGCGGCCGTGAGATTATCCTGGGAATGTTATATGGAGACCACATGGGGAAGTTAACTGTCAGAAACTAAGAGACAAAACTGCAGGCACCTCTAATTTCAGTTTGACGTCTTCTTTCGTCTTGGAGATGTAGTCCAAGCTGGAGATGGCCGACTCCACGGCGCTGCAGTACTGCCCGTAGATCACCAGCCTGGGGAGGGAACGAGGCAGAGGAGGAACCCTCTAGGACAGTGTTTCCCAAAGTGTGGTACGCGTACCCCCAGGGGCACGGGAAGAGTTTGGTGGGGGTACGCGTTGCACTGGAGTTTGGTGGGGATATGCACTGCACCGTGCTTAGCTGCGCCTAATTCTACGTTCTCATGAGTACGAGGGGTACTCAGCATTACGAAAGTTATAGAAGGGGCACACATATGTCAAAAGTTTAGGAAACACTGATCTAGGACAACGGAGCACGGGCATGCGAGAGGAGAGGCGGGACTTCCACCTCGACATCCACGGCGAGGGAGACACGCGGCAAACCTCGCCCATGGGCACCCCGCTGCCTCGGGAACCCCAGCCAATGGCTCCCTCCCAGGCCCTCCCTGCTCAGCCTTCTCCTTTTGTCCTCATGCACACACACCGCCCAGCCAGCCATGGAAGGAGGATCGCCACAATGATGGATTAAAAATGACTCCTGTCGGGACCGGTTTGGCTCAGTGGATAGAGCGTCCGCCTGCGGACTGAAAGGTCCCAGGTTCGATTCCGGGCAAGGGCATGTACCTTGGCTGCGGGCACATCCCCAGTGGGGGGTGTGCAAGAGGCAGTTGATTCTCTCTCATCAATGTTTCTAACTCTCTATCCCTCTTTCTTCCTCTCTGTGAAAAATTAATAAAATATATATATTTTTTTAAAATGACTTCTGTTATTTTTGCATCTGACTGGCATTCACCGCACGGACATTTTTACAGCAGGGGGTTTTAAAAACTGGCTTGCGGACTGTAGATGCTGAGTGCAAATAGTCACACCAACGAAATTTAAAATTCCTGGCTAAGCTCCTGATATATAAATGTCCACTCACTATGTTGTCCACCGGAAACTAATGTACCATCGCATGTCAACTGCAAAGGTGTTTCCTTTTTATTGTGTGCTCACACACAGCAACAGGCTGCTAATGCTACAATTGTACCATAACCTTTACCTGTGACTCCATTCATTCGTAAGCCTCCTCTCCGTCCTCCTTTTTAATTAGGAAAATGCATCCTCTGAAGCGGGGACGAGGGGCCTGAGCTGTGCGCGCAGGAGGGCAGGGACTCAGCCTGCTCCCCAGGGGGGTCCCGGGAGGACACAGCCGTTTCCCAAAGAGGCTGGGAAACTTAATGCTTCTTTTAAATCCATTGATGAAAGTTCGTGTCTGTCTAGTTGTCGATGCAAAGCAATTGCTGAGCCGCTTCTGAGTCAGCACTAGGAACTCTTGTGCTTGGTGTAAAATGTTAAGCTCAATCCCTAACTCACGTGAGCTGTCGGGAAGATTTTTCTTTTTTTTTCTAACTGACAAAGGGAAACTGACTTTAGCGTGAATCAAACACCCACAATGGAGAATGGTAACATATTAGAGTTGGAAAAAGCACGGGGTAGCAGCTCACCCACAGCTGACACATACAGATGGGGAAAGGAGGTGGGCAAGTTAGCAAGACTTCCTGAAGCCCAGGGCTCCATGACAGAGTGGGAGAGTCCCTCCTTTTTCTCCTTTTCCTGTTTTCTTACTGTCCAGTCACACCCAGGGAGCTCACTGCCACCGGAGATCCCCGGTCCCGAGTTCTAACCGCTGCCCCACAGTGTCCCCACGAACAGTGGTGATTCCTGTGAGTGGTGTCACACCGACCCTCACTACGATTACCAGCGAACAGCCCCAAAATTGTAAATTCAGAAGTTACCTTTCCTTGTAGTTAATGAAAATCTGATACAAGTTCTGGTCGTGCTTATTTACGATGGAATCATGAATTTCTTGCATTAGGTTCCGATGAACTTTTACAAGTTCCTTAGAAAAGAAAGCAAGGTCAAAGTTAGTTAGAAATCAGAACCAAAACAAAAAAAAAAAATCACCAGAACCCAGACCCCTAATGCTGCTAGAATTGCCATCCAAGGACACACTATAGGCTCTCGGCACAGAAACCTGCTAGAATCCACCACACCCCTAAAGAGGGAGAGAGAGGAGGGGAGAAGGGGAAGAGAGGAGGAAGGGAAGGAGGGGGAGGAAGGGAGAGAAGGAGGAAAGGGAAGGGGAGGGAAGAGGACGGGAGAGTGACAGGCCACAGGAAACAGCTGTTTAAGATCGGACTCGAAATGCCAATGTCCTGTGCAAAAGACATTATTTCACTGGTTATTAAAGGGCAATTTATTCCTGGTATAAAAATATGCACAGCTCATTTTAATTTTGTAATTTAAATGTTTAAATTCAACTGCCCCAGTGTTTAATGTCTTATTGACAAGATAAGTGAGGATTGTGTCCTCAGGGCATGGAAATGTAGATCTGAGCTTTGGTCAATCAGTGGTGTCCCAGGGCTGAGCCAACAACCATCGGCTAAATTACCAGACGACTGGGACAGAAATGAGGAGCAGATACACTGGACGAGGAGGCTTACCCCAGCTCCTCACATGCAGAATGTCAGGCAAGTAATTTCCAGTCAGATGGTCCTGCCTGTCACAGCCAGGAAATGAGGACATAGAACCAAGGGGGCTGTCCCCCCACTATCTCCTTCCCTGTGCCCTGAGCATCCCTCCGACCTCACTGCCGACCTCACTGCCCTCAGGAACCAGGAACATGTTGGCCTGTCATTTGGCTTGGGGAGGGAGGGGGAAGGAGGGAGGGAGTACTTGTTTGTATGTTTTTATTGATTTCAGAGAAGAAGGGAGAGGGGGAGAGAGAAACAGCAATGATGAGAGAGTCATGGATCACTGCCTCCTCCACACTCCACACTGGGAAGCTGAGCTCCCAACCTGGGCGTGTGCCCTGACCAGGAATGGAACCCGTGACCTCCTGGTTCCTAGGTCAACACTCAACCACTGAGCTATGTCGGCCGGGCGGGCCTGTCCTTGGCTGAGGCTCATGAAAAGGCTGTAAGAGTAAGACCTCTCCAATGGGGTCCTCGGTTACAATGACCGCATTTGGGTGGTTCCAGATCCTCATCTTCCTAGACGTGCGCTAGGTTATATCCTAACAGTCCACCTGACGTTGTGACCTTTCCTCCTGCAAAGTCACAAATCAGTCAATGTCTTCACTGGGCCCAAAGCAAGGACAAGACCAACGTGCCACCGCTAGCCGACCGGGGCACGTCCGCAGCGTACATTACAGAAGCAAAACAGACCAAACCAGGGCTAGTCAGGTGATACAGGCACGCCTGTACATAAAGGCTGACGTTTTATACGTGAAAGCTATCCAATAAGACAAAGCCAGCTCCAGAGGCCTCGGAACATGAGTCTGGCCCAGCATGACCTCAGTTGGCATAGCGTTTGGCTGGCCTCATGCTTCCAAGGAAATATTCTCTTAGGATTAAAAAAAAAACATTGGAAGGTGCTCTGAAACTTGAAATGCTTACATAAACCTATTTTTTTAAAAGGGGAGGGGGCTTCCATTAAAATAGACTGTTGAGCCCACTGGCGTGGTTCAGTGGTTGAGCATTGGCCTATGAACCAGGAGGTTATGATTCGGTTCGATTCCTAGTCAGGGGACATGCCTGGGAGTTTAGGTTGATATACTAGGAACTGGAAGCAGAAAAGAGACACCACGACAGAGGAGGAATGGCAGGAAGTAGAGGAGACGGAAGGAGTCAGGATGGTGTCCATAAGATGGGGTCCAGAGGCTGGAGGAACACGGAGCAATGAGAGGACTGGAAGGGGAATCACAAACACAGTCAGGAGCCCGGGGTCTGTTTAACTGAGACTCCCTCCACAGGACCCTTAGCCAGGTGTCTTGTGCATGTATTCTGAGTAAGGTGACCAGATGTCCCGCTTTTGGCGGGACAGTCCCAATTTTTAACTATTTGTTAAAATTATTTCCAAAAATCAGGACATTTTTAAACGCCGAGGGACTCGGGAAAAATTGTTAATAATCGGGACTGTCCCACCAAAAGCGGGACGTCTGGTCACCTTAATTCTGAGTGACTATCGATTAAGAGTATGACTTATCAGTTATTTCTTGAGAATATAGCTGTAAGAACTCTAGAGGCAGCAAACAGAGTCAACATTCTTAAAGAATACCAGAGAATGCTAAAACAGGGATCTGGAACCCCAATAAAGGCTTTAGAGATGTACCCCATGCTTAGCTAGCATAGTTTCACTTACGGGAATGTTGATGAAGACAGAATCAAATTCTGCTGCTGTCAGAAACCGTTTTAGCGGTGCCATGAAGTACTACCGGGAGAGGAGAGAGAATGAGAATTAAGCACAACTCATCCTAATCTAGATAACAGATTGTCATCAACAAACAATGAATATGGACGGAAAGTCAGTTGTTTATCAGTATTATGAATGCCCAAGAAACAGCAGAAGCTATTTTCTCTGACTTGCAAATTATACACTTGAACAAAGATAGAAAGACATAAATATGAGTTAATACATTTAAAGCATAAAATACTTAGGGCGGTGAGCACACAATGGGACAGACAGATGATGTATTATAAACTTCTATAACTTCCATGACCGAGAACCAGAGTTCTATTGTGTTCACTGCCATATTCTCAATCCCCACACACAGAGACTAAAATGAATCTATAATAATAAAAGTGTAATATGCTAATTAGGCCAGACATCCTTCCAGGTGTCCTTCCTTCTGGACAAAGCCACAGCGGGTGGGGGTCGAGGCAGAGGAGGCAGAGGACCCCAGCTGCAGCGGTGGCAGGCAGGGTCCGGAGCCAAGGCCCTTGCACAAATTTCATGCATTGGCCCTCTAATCAAATAACTAGTTGTGGAAGGATTAAACCTGCTTTGAGATCTTTAAATCCAAAGTTCTACTGAAAATTAGAATACACACATATATACACACACAGAGAGAGAGAGAGGAAACACTGAGCCCAACACATTCACCAGGTAAGGCAGGAGGGGCCTCAAGAGTGACACCTGATTACTTACCTTCTCTATCGACTCCAGTGTTTCTGTGTATTTTTCTTCCGTCTGCTTAATCTCTGCGAGGCAGCAACTTCGTATGTCATTCTCTGGACATTTCTGCAATTAGAATGATCCCGTTGAAATTAATCCAATTCAGGTGTTAATCTCTCTGGCAGTAGCTAGAAAGAGATCAAAACCATTGCTGGTTTTCTGACGCTTTCTATTTCTAATAAAACACTAACCCAAACATTGGCATGGTTATTACTAGCTAACTATGACTTGTCACTGCAGCCGGAGCCATAGAAACGTGGCATTGTACGGGTCAAAACAACCACAGGGAGTCTCTGGTCTCATCCTTTCATTTTACTGGTAAGGAAACCAAATCGGAGCGACAAATGACATGTCACCCAGCAAAGCAATAGCAGCAGAGGAGCCATGGGATGTAATCTCACGGAATCACAGAACTGTATTGTTAAGAAAGAAAATCTTCTGTTACAAGGCAGGTAACTATTCTTTTAGATTTGACGTAGCCTCCAATATACACATAGCGGGCCAAGGTAAGAAAACAAACAAGCAAGAAAGCCATCCCAGAGGAAGTTACATAAACAATCACATTGAGTTTCTAAAATGGTCGCTTTTCCAATAAAATACCCAGAGTAACTTAAAAAAAATAATAAAATAAAATAAAAAAACACAGGCGAGTGCCTACGGGTTGCTGTGCCTCCTCCGCTTTCATCAAGTCCTCGTACACCTCGCCACCTTCGTCCTCGCCGTACACACAGTCATACAGGCCCTCCTCGTCCTCCGCGCGCGTCTCGCTGGAACGGAGGGCACAGGGGGAAGGTCACTGTCTGGCAGGAAACGCACGAGCTGGGAGCAGCCTCCCGGTTCCCGTAGGAAATCCAGAGGGGCATAAAGTGGAACGTGTGGCGTCGAAGGCGGGGGGGACGGCCCGTCCCTCCTAACAGGGACAATGACAGCGACAACAGCACCCGACATCGCCCAGCTCCCCCCCCCCCCCCCGGCCCCTCTGCAGTGGGAGCCCGGCCCCCCAGGCCTGGCCCTGGGGGGTGTGGTCGGGCAGGTTCCAGCACGGCCGTTGGACTTGCCCACGACAGCACAGGTGAGTGCAGGGCCGGGACTGAGACAGTGCCTCCCGCTGGTCACACTAAGGAAGGCTAGGACCCGCGGAGAGGATGGGGAGCTAAAGGGGACCTAGGACGTGACAGTCTCTCAGAGGCCTCGCTCTCTGCAGGCTTCATTGCCAAGGCCTCGTGCAGTGAGTGGGCTGCAGACCACGTTCCTGCCGGAGGGCACCTTCCTGGAGCCTGCCACGGGGGCTGTCTGTGCTGCCTCCCCAGGAGAGGGGTGCAGGGTCGGCTTTATGTCCCCTCACTGCCTCCCTCCTCTGTCTCCACCAGCCACTCGCCTGGGAAGGGCTCCCACTGTACCTAGCAGCGGTCTGCCTCTCTGCTCCTCAGAGCCCTGCACGCGAGGGACTCACAGAGGCAGCCAGGAGCCCTCGGAGGGCCACTCTCCCGAACGCTTTCCCTTCAGGGCCTGGGGTTGATTCGTACACCTCAGCCGCCAGCCATTTCCCTCCCCAGCACAGAGCTCTGTGAACACCCCCCCCCACCTCCCCTCCTCCCACTGCTACAACCACAAAGGACGCAGAAGTGATGACACGGGAGCTCACGTACTCTATCAGGTCGGGGAGGGCTTTGTAGATGTCCTCATCGCTGACGCTCTCTTCTGTTGGGAAGGGCCTGGAGGGCGGGAGAGAAGGAGGGAGAGGAAACAAGGTGAGCAAGCGGCATCCAGGAGGGGCATTGTCTCACCACCCATGTCAGCCGCCTGCCGCCGGCGCGGGCCGGTCAGTCACCACATCTGAGACGGCATCTGGGGTTTCTCCCAGTGCGGCTGGGCCTGAGGGTCCCCGGGGAGACCAGGCACCTGCTACCCCAGGGCATCAGCAGCAGGTGTGCTGTCACCCCAATCCTCTGAGCAGCTGGGGACAGACAGGCTGCTGTGCTTAGTAATACCCCCGCCCCACCCCCAGCCACAACTCTGTAGGCTTACCTCCTGGCTCCCGCTCAGTCCCCCCACCCCCCCCCACCCCTCAGCTCCCCTTCAACACCAGCTCTTCCCACTTTATCGGATGCTGATGTGACTGACAAATGACTGGGTAGCGATCACCCTTCGCAAGTAACTGGCGACAATCACTCTTGACAAACAACCGGGTGACAATCACTCTTGATAAATAACTGGGTGACAAGCTAATAATGAAAATGATTAGGAGAAAGAATACTGTGTCCTGTGTAAATGATTACTGACTCTAATCTATTCCTCTCCTTGTCTTTGAGGTGTTTTAAGTTGTATGTGTTTGTTCCATTATTGGGCAAATGGCCTCAGGGAGAACAGGATGTTTTCTCTGCCTCCCGTTCAAAGGCAATCACTGCCATGGATCCCCTATTCCTAGCCGTGAGCATCCTTTCTGCCTCATGCCTCTGTGACCCTTCTGGTAACACGCACATGATGCTCTAAATCCACGTCTAACCAAGTCACAGAAATCAGACCACAGAGCCAACGTTTTACTCTTTTTTCCACGCCACCAGCATGTGTGTTTGCCTTGGTGAATCACATGTGTAGAAAGGTTGAAGGAAGAAAAAAAGAAGAACCATATCAACGACAGTCACCAGTAAAATGAGAACCAGGTTTAGCCAACGGATCTCATCTGGCTCTATGAATGTGTTCTTAGTCACAAAGTTTCAAACATGTGTTGGCACTTGCAAACCGGACAGCCTGCACGAGTGCAACATGCTTTGCAGACAGTGACCGTTCAGTGAGCCATCGTGACCCTGAACGTGGGCCACGGAGAAACGAGCTTACCTGATTCCTGTGGCCAGCGCGATGGGCGTTCGGGAGAGGCGCGACAGTGTTTCTATCACCTGAGAACAGAGGGACATGTTCATTGAAAGCGTGTTTCCGGAAAGATAAGTTCTTTTCCCCAAAGAGCAGTTCAGCAATCTGACAACAATGACAGCAGACACGTGACTCTGCAGACGCCAAAGAGGTGCGGAGTGGGAGAGCTGGGAGTGACAGTAAAGCACCTTTGGTATAATTTTGTCCCTTTCTTGAAGTGGCCCCACCTCAACTGCTCAATAGCCACACAGACATCAGACCTTCCCATCATCACAGCAGGTTCCACCAGTCAGCCTGCCATGTGGTAGTGTGATGTAGCACAGGGGCTCTGGGGCCAGGCCCCACAGGTTCAAATCCTGGCTTCCCACTCATTAGTCAGATAACCTTGGACAAACTACTGAATGTCTCTGGGCTGCAGTTTTTTTCATCAGGATACGGCATACAATAATAGATTATTATGATCATTAGATTATAGTAAAGACTACAAAGGTAACACATGCAAAATATTGAAATGGTAGCCATTCTTGCCGAAACCAGTTTTGGTCAGTGGTAGAGCGTCGGTCTGCGGACTGAAAGGTCCCGGGCTCGATTCCGGTCAAGGGCATGTACATTGGTTGCGGGCACATCCCCAGTAGGGGATGTGCAAGAGGCAGCTGGTTGATGTTTCTCTCTCATCGATGTTTCTAGCTCTCTATATCTCTCCCTTCCTCTCTGTAAAAAATCAATAAAATATATTTTTTTTTAAAGAAAAAGAAATGGTAGCCATTCTTAAAAATCTCCAACTTTAAGAAAATCACCTTATTCTAATTCTGTGTGTTTCAATAAAAAGAGTCTTTTTAATTACCGTTGCTCATCTACCTGTTTCAAGGTCCCTTAAGAAGGCCTATCCAGCCATGGTTGCAGCATTAGTAGCTTGCAATTTTCCTGTTTGACACTATGGTCTCAGCCTTGTCGCGACGCAATCAAAAGGAAAACGGTATTGCTGAGCATTTTACTATTGCTATTATTGAGGAGCTTTCCTGTGAGGATGACCCTACATCCACAAGATGCATTTTCTCTTCCTTTTACTACCAATAACCAGAACTATTCACAACCCGTCCCTCTCTCCCCGGCTAAACTGGAGTTTGATGTTTCCATATGATTGCCCACCAGAGGGAGCCAGACAACAGCACTACATCACTTTCCTCCTGCCATGAATGAGTTTATAAAGTGCAAGTGTTTCTGAAAATCAGCAAGCTGCACCGAACTCCTGTCATTTCTTTAAAAAGGAGCATTTCCCACTAGTTGGTGCTATAAAAAATAAAGATACAGATTCGGAGGAGAGGAGCATGACAAGAGACTATGCAGCATGCCTTAGAGAGCACCTCCCGGCACCCTCTCTCCATGCTGGGTTCTTCTGATTATAGCACCACACACACACACACACACACACACACACACACACACCGCCCCGTTAGCTCCAAGTGCAGCCTCTAAAGCAGAGACTGTTTAGTCCGAGGCGTGTTTGCAGAACAGCTGTGCGCTGTGCAGGCAGAGTGACCCCGGGACAAACGAGTACCGAACCCACAGGCCTCTGCGATGGAGATGCCCACCCCCGAATATGGGCAGAACAAAACAGCGCCCCGGGCAGGAAAGACGGCACTGTTGTCCCTGAAATGTATTCGCTTCCAAAAGGCCGCCTCAAAACAAGATGAAACTGTGGTCCTTAACTCCAGAAAAGGGGGGTAGCTAGTCAGAATGTGTGCGAGGTAATTCCAGTCCCACAACCAACCACAAACCCACATCACAATGCTCTTTCTGCACCGCCCTCTACACCTTGCTTGTTAAGGCAGCGGCATCTGTAAAGAAACAACGAAAGTTCCGGGAAACATGCCTGAGAGTCAGTGTGGGAGGCGGGAGGGGAGGTGGGCAGGCTGCTCCGGGCTCCAGCGAGGGGGTGAGACCCCGGAGCCTGGGGAGGATGGAGGTTAAGAAGGAAGACAGCAGGTATAAAAGCTGCACTCTGAGAAGATCCCTCCGAAAAGTGAAGGGCAGGCATTCTGGTGGGAGAACCTGGGGTACAGACAAGGCATCGGGAGACTCGCTGGGGGTGTTCGCCATCGTCCAGGGGAGAAACAGGGAGTCTTAGCCCAGCAGTACAGACTGAGAGGCGACAAGTGGTCCTTCCCAGGGGAGGGAAGGACCAGGACAACTGAGAGTGGGGGAGGGGGGAGGGTGGGCAATGTGTTCCTATTATACAGATTTTTCCATGACATGCTTTTGTCACTTAACAATGTATCACAGCCCTGGCCGGGTAGCTCAGTAGGTTAGAGCATCATTATCCCATACACCAAGGCTGTATAATAGGTCCGATCCCCGGTCAGGGCACATACAAGAATCAACCTATGAATGCATAAGTAAGTAGAACAACAAATCAATGTTTCTCTCTCCCTCCCTCTCTCTAAAACAATAAACTTCACAAGAAAAAAGACAGTTGTGTCCACACACACAGATCTCCTTTGTTGATTTTAATGTTGTGTAACGTTTCATGTATAGAACACAATGATTCAACCGTTCTCCTGACATTGATTTGTGGTTGCACTTTATGCATTCATTTGGTTGATTCTTGTATGTGCCTGACTGGGAATCGAGCCCACAACCTTTAATGCCATCATCATCATCAGTGAAGTAACAACACTGAGATTATATACTTCCTATCCTCAAACCTCCCCGCCCCCATCGACTGGGAAGACCACGGGTGGTAGGCAGCACCGCCAGGTCCACCCACAGCCCAGGGGAGAGCAAGGCCCGTTGTCCCCTCAGCCCGAGGGACAGAGCGGGGAGGCTGCAATGGCTGCTTAGAAGTGGTAACCTTGGCTGCACACGCAGGGCGACGGGGAACTTCCCGGACCTTCATGGGTCTGCATGTCTGACTGTCCGCAGACGCCCGATGGGCCAGAACGCCGGCCTCTGGTCCCCTGCAGGCCCCAGCCCCACAGGCTCTGGCGCCAACACTCTGTGCAGACTTACTGGCAGTGCTCAGTCTGAGGAGCCTCAGAGTGGCCACTTCTGGAGTAATATTTTCCCGACCTGGTTTACAGCTCTGAGAGATGAGGTCACGAAGCAAAGTTTTTTCTAAACCAAACAGTCCTGCCCTTGTCTCAGGGGCACTTATCTTCCTGGCACCAAGATCTCGCTGTATCTACCTGCCCGCCCCTGCCCTCCGCCTCTGAAGACCCCGCAGGGCATTTCCCTGCCCACCTGCAATCCTGCCCCTGCTCTCAGCCTCTGAAGACCCCACAGGGCATCTCCCTGTCCACCTGCCTTCCTGTCCCTGCTCTATGCCTCTGAAGACCCCACAGGGCATTTCCCCTGCCCACCTGCTATTCCCATCCCCACCGTCTGCCTCTGCCTCACCTGGCTAGACGCTGGGAGACTTCCTAGACCTGTACTTCTCCTACACATCAGGTCTAAGTCCTCCCAACTCATCCTCAGAAACCTCGGATCCCACTCCTCCTGCTCTCCCTCCGCCTCTGCCTCAGGCCACACCCTCCAGCTCCTGCCTCAGTTGCTGAATTGGCTCTAGCTCATCGCATGTAGCAGAAGGCTGCCAGAGGGTGCCATCCAGGCGTCAGTTAGAAAGTGCATGTGTTCCGGGGGGGACTACAGGTGGCCCTGGGACAACAGCTGACCCAGAACTCTGAAGAGCCTACAAGGTCCCTGTGACCGGTGTCGCCCACAGGGCTGCTGCCTGAACCTGTGTCATGCAGAATCCACCGGCCAGGGCCGGCCCAGAAACAGCCTGGACCTTTGGCTCTGCCTTGACAAAGCACTGAGTGCAACTCAAGTTTAGAGCAATGTTTCTTTAAAAGCAACAGAAGGTGCCGAAACCAGTTTGGCTCAGTGAACAGAGTGCCAGCCCGAGGACTGGAGGGTCCCAGGTTCGACTCCGGGAAAGGGCACATGATTTGGTTGCAGGTTCCCCGGTCCTCGTCGGGGTACCTTCAGGAGGCAACTAATCGATGTCTCTCCCTCTCCCTTCCACTCTCTCTAAAAGTCAGTGGCAAAATAGCCTCAGGTGAGGATTCAAAATAAATAAATAAAAATAAAAGCAACAGAAGGTGCTCATGCGGTTCTCTCTTTCCTCTTTGCAGTGAGCGGGGCAGTGGTTTGCGGGTCGGGGTCCGGGAGCAGCGGGAACAGAGCTGAGCCAGGTCTCTGTTCCCTAAAGCAGCAGGCATGTGTCCCAATGAGGGGCCAGCGCCAGACTCCGATCGCTCACAGACAGGCAGGACTCCTGCAATTGGCCAAGACACAATTTTAGCTATTTTCACACGCTTGGCCGATGCTGATTGATCTCAAAATCCATGGGCTGGTTTAGAAAAAGGCTTTCAACATACATATTTAATCAGCTCTCCAAATAGCGATGTTTTATCCACTGTCCTGGGAGGCGTGGCTGACACAGGAGTTCTCAAAGCTGTGAAGCCAAACGTGCATCTTTGGGAGAAACATGGGCCTCGTGCGGGCTGAGTGACGTGAATGCTGAGAAAGCGTTCACAAACCGTTAGCGAGCAGGGGGAGCAGAGAGGAACGATGAGAACTCAGCAGGCTGAAAAAGTGCTCTTAGGAAAAGTGATTAGAAAAAAAAGAAAAGGCAGGGCATGTGCAAAAAATAGCAAACTTCCAAACAGCCGCACCCTTGTTCAAACTGCTTCTAAAGCGCTACGCGTTCTTTCCTGACAGTGCGACATTTTTGTTGGCAGCTAATTTTCTTGTGGCTACAAGGTGGGGAGAGGAAGTGGTACTCAGTGTACAAACTGAGAAATAGCCAGTCCTTTTAATTCAGCTGGAGGTCACTTTTTTTAAAATATATATATTTTTAATTGATTTTTTTACAGAGATAGTTAGAAACATCGATGAGAGAGAATTATTAATCAGCTGTCTCCTGCACACCCCCTATTGGGGAGAGAATCATCAATCAGCTGTCTCTGCACACCCCCTACTGGGGATGTGCCGGCAACCAAGGTACATGCCCTTGACTGGAACC